ATATATATATATATATACATACATATACATACATACATATACACACATGTACATATTTATGTATATATGTAGGTATGTATGTACATATGTATGTATAAATGTATAGGTATATATGTGTATATAAATGTGTGTGCATATGTGTGTGTGTGTGTGTGTGTGTGTGTGTGTGTGTGTGTGTGTGTGTGTGTGTGTGTGTGTGTGTGTGTGTGTGTGTGTGTGTGTGTGTGTGTGTATATATATATATATATATATATATATATATATATATATATATATATATATATATATATATATATATATATACATATACACATATATACATATATACATATATACATATATACATATATACATATATATATATATATATATATATATATATATATATATATATATATATATATATATATATATATATATATATATATATATATATATGTATATGTATATATGTATATATATATATATATATATATATATATATATATATATATATATATATATATATATATATATGTTTATATATATATGTATATGTATATATATATATATATATATATATATATATATATATATATATATATATATATATATATATATATATATATATATATACATATATACATATGTATATATATATGTATGTATGTATGTATGTATATATATATGTATATGTATATATATGTATGTATGTATTTATGTATGTATGTATGTATGCTGTGAATATATAAAGCTGTATAGCATGACAGATATTTGAAATATAAGTATTTCGCCAGTTTTGTTACATATTTCACATGAAATATAGAATTAATGATAATACTCGGCAGATTCAGCGTCATGCAGTTGCCGCTTGAATCCCAACCAGATCATATCGAAATACATAAGCACCCCTATTAGCTCAAATATGTATATTACATGTGCAAATTATATAACCTGTATTATAGGCAGGAAATCTTATAGAATCTTATTTTTCTAGAGTATGGGATAATGCTCAAATGACTGACACATGATTTTTTTTTTTTTTTTTTTTTTTTTTTTTTTTTTTTTTTTCATTATCATTTCTCTTTGTGAATGTATTTTTTACAGTGGCTGTATGTTAGAGTATTCATTATTTTTCATTTTTATTAAAAGGGCAATTCTTAATCATATTGATCTATTAGTTGTAATAATTGGATAAAATGTGCATTAATGCTTACTTGTCACAGGGTATCTTATTGTATAATAGAAAAGTGAAATGAATTTTATCCCATGAATATTTAGAGTTGCTTGAACAATAAAAAAAGGAAAAAAGAAAAAAACACAGCCTTTTGAACAGACCAAAGCTCTGGTATCGCTCATAATTGTCCATAAGCAATAAATAGAACACTGCATTATCAAATCCTTTATCTATTAATTTCTCATTTCTGCCACCGTTCCCACCAGAAGCTTATCAGTCTTGGTATCACAAATTTCCTTGCCGATTTCCACATACACACACTGCTGAAGCTTCCGTGCAAAATGGGAATTTCATCTTCAAGGAATATGTGCATCTTTGTAGAACAGCAGTTAGCACAGGCTGATCCATATGTTTCTATAGCTTACCTGTTGTTGTTTGCAATCTTCAAGTCACATTTGTAAAGTCAAGAACTCCTCTGCATTGCAACATGAGCAGCTGTAACTTTGGAATTGATGTAGGTTATCATTAGCTGTGATTCAGATCAGATCAGGGAAGGTCTGTATTTTTGTTTTAAGCACCTTTTTTCTTCCTTTTCTTCTTCTTCCCCTCTTCTTTTATTCACTTTTTTGAAAAATCTGAATTTATAAATGTGACATGAAATGTCCTTTGAATGTAGATGTACAGTCAGACATTGTTAATTCCTTATTTGAGGAAGAAATGAAACACCTACATATTATGTGCGCTCTGTGAATCAGGAATGGGGAGCAAGTGTCTAAGGGTAATACAAATGTGAATTTATGATGCTTGACTGTATCAGTGATAATTCTTTTTCTATTGAATACTATCTTACGTTGCCATTTTGTATGGTCTGAGACCTACCTTAGGTTATAATATGTGATAAAAGAGTAGACTATGTAGATATCAATTTGTCTTAGGAGTTTGTTTTTTTTATTGTTTGCAAGGTCATCAAAGAATCATGTTGTATGAGTGAACATGAATTCAAGTTCCATATGTCCATCCACTGATTTTCTTACTTTTTGTTCTCACATGGTGTTACATCTGGCTGTAAGTTATTGAATGTTGTATAATCTAAAGAGAAAACTCTTTTGAAAAATCTGTCATTCTCTAAAGAAATATGAAGAGAAAGTAATGGAGGTTTCATATTTCAAAAAAAAAAAAAAAAAAAAAAATTGTGACAGTAACCAGCAAATAGATAGAAGTGTGGCAATTCCTGTCATCAAGTGCTTCATTTCTGTACATGTTACCTAGACATGAAATAGTAAGCTTCATGAATTTTGACGTCTCAGAGGAGTGAATCCAGCAAAGATCCTATGCAAATCTTCCCATTGCAAGGTTGCTCTTAAGGGTAGTTTTCCATTTTGCAATTTAGTTTCCTTTCTTGTTACTTCACAGCACAAGGCACGCGAGGTTCCTTGAAGCCGAGAGTGCTGTGCCAGTGTTAGAACGGCAGGAAAGGCCTTAAGCTTACACAATATTACCGATGGATATTAGTTCACTGCCACAAATAAAAATTCAAATGTTATTAATTTTTTCATTATGTGCATATGTATGAATATGAATATATATGTGTGTGTGTATGTGTGTATGTATATATATATATATATATATATATATATATATATATATATATATATATATATATATATATATATATATATATATATATATATATATATATATGTATATATATACTTATATGCATATGCATGTATATACATGTATACATATCCACACACACACACACACACACACACACACACACACACACACACACACACACACACACACACACACACACACACACACACACACACACACACACATACACACACACACACACACACACACACACACACACACACACACACACACACACACACACACACACACACACACACACACACACACACACACACACGCACACACAGATAAACATATGATAGACATACATTATGTATGAGCTGGTGTATCATTGTACCAAGGTTCTTCTTTCAATGTCTTTTTGTGGCTTTTAAGTTTTGGGACATTTCTAAACTGATTAATAGACATTTAACATCCCCTCCAAGAATACTTCTTGTTTGGGAAAATATAGATATCTTTTCCCTTGATGATGAGCAAACTATCAAAGTTACCATTAATAAGAAGGTAGATCTAGATACTGCTCTGAATAAAACTATCCAGTTCGCTTCAGTCACAAGTGCCGAATTGAAGTCTTGTAAAGAATGTCTACCATATCTGAATTTGTAATAGAAATAGTGTCCTTGAGCCACCTTTGTTAACACTAATAATGCAAAGTTATCTTTCACTGAAATTTGAGCGTTGTAATAAGAAGAATCAGTTTTGGATATGGAAGTTAGATGAATTTTTTATATAAATGATGTGTAACTCCTTGTACTGTCATTCTGAATGAAGACTCTCCTAGGGTTAACAACAAACACACTTTTGTTTGGACAGCATATGGGTGATACTAATTTTAGAGATGCTTCCAGTGTACTTTCAGTGTTATCCTTATTGTTTTCCTCTTCTTCCCTTTTCTGTCTCTTTCTGTTTCTGCCTTTCAGTGACTCACTTAGCACTTCGAAGATAATCAAATCTCTGTCTGTCTCTCTCTCTCTCTCTCTCTCTCTCTCTCTCTCTCTCTCTCTCTCTCTCTCTCTCTCTCTCTCTCTCTCTCTCTCTCTCTCTCTCTCTCTCTATCCCTCTCTCTCCCTTCCTCGTCTTCAGATATCGTACCTTTTTTATCAGTACTGTCTTTATCTTAACACTGTTTATAAGCCAATGTTTACATGGCTTCCTGTAGTGTGTTACGAATCAATTATTGCTGTTATTTATTTTGTATGATTTTACCATGACCTATTACCAATTTCTAGTCAATTATCTGCATTAAGTATTGGTGATGCATCTGTATATTAACACACCTTTCGTTCCCTATATAAATATACATTTCATATGCAGGATAATTATATGTGAAGATGAAGACCTGTGTTATGTATGTTTATACATAGTTGCCTAGCATAGAGCTGTGTATTTTTATGTAAACAATTGAAAAGAGACTCCAAATCTGAAATAAAAATATGGAGAAATTTCATGTTTTCTTACCCAGATTCAAAAGGTAAAAGAATTGTTACTATGATATCTTGTAACAAGTCTGTATTCTTAAACTACAGTAAGGTTTATGATTTATAAACAGTTTTCTTCTTTTTCTTAGAATGTTTATGGTGTATGAAGTAACTAAAAATATATTCTCAATATCTACAGAATGAACATTAGTTGTTTATTCTTGTATAGAAATCACTTGATACAATGAGAAAATGGTCAGGGAAAGGTAACACATGCACTTCTCCGCTGATGTTCCTGGCAGCAAATTTCTTCCTTATTCGGCAAAATTATTTTTTTATATGTCATTATTGTTGTTTTTTTAATTTCTTTTTACTTATTTATTTTAATTTATTTATTTATTTATTCATTTATTTATTTATCTATTTATTTTTAGGGTATTGATATATTTAGACAGCTAAAAGAAATAACAGCAAAGAATGTTTCTCTTTGAGTCTGTCACTGATTATAGAGTGGAGGCATGACTATAATTTTGACAAATGGGGCAACCCCTAAATAAAAATCATTAGTAATACCCTCAAAAAGAATTACATTATAGCCTTTATGCACACATACTGAAAGTATTCTGAAAATCATAACAAATGAGAGAAACTAACAGTCACATATACTTAATCCAGAAAGGAGAATTTTCTTCATAACATGGTATTGTCATTAGCCTATTTAAGATATTTTTTCTATTTGGAGGAGAAAGGGAATTTGTAAACTGTTTTAATTTTATAAATTTATTTGTAAATGTAGAAGTATTCGGAAGGGTATAACAAAAATATATGGCACATCGAAATGAAGAATTCTTAGAATAATAATAATAATAATAAAAGCAATAGTATAATTTTAAAAATTGTCATGAAAATCATAATAATAATAGTAATAGTAATAATGATAATGATAATAATAATAATAATAATAATAATAATAATAATAATAATAATAATAATAATAATAATAATAATAATAATAATAATGATAATAATAATAAAAATAACAATAATAATAATAATAACAATAATAATAATATAAATAATTTTAAAAAATATATGGATAATAATAATAATAATAATAATAATAGTAAAAATAATAAGGATAATAATAATAATAATAATGATAATAATGATGATGACATTGATTATGGTGATACTGATACTGATGACAATGACAGTGACAATGATGACAATGGCAATGACAGTGACAATGATGATGACGATGACAATGACAGTGACAATGATGATGACAATGACAATGACACTGACAGTGACGATGATGATGACATAAATAATATTAATAAATAATAATAATGATAATAATAATAATAATAATAATAATAATAATAATAATAATAATAATAATAACAACAAAAATAATAACATTGATAATATTAATAATAATAATAATAATAATAATAATAATACAGGCATAATATTCATGATCATAATAACAATAATAATAATAATAAATATATTAATAATAATAATAACAATAATATATATATAATAATAATAATAATTACATCAGTAATAATGGCAATACAAAATACTTACAATATATAATTACTGTACATTGAACTGTATTTAACATGCTTACACTTAACATCAGGCAGTTGTGACAAATTTTACATGACATTTTCTATATATTGGTAACTCCTCTGAGAATCACATGAATGAATGAATATTTCTGAAACATGAGAGACAGAGCTTAAAGCTTTTGTATTGAGAAAAGGATTCTGGATCCAGTTGTGTGAACTGACATAAAACAAACCCTTGATAGTAGTATAACTTACATGACATTTAAATACAATTAAAGATATGTGCACAAACACATAGTTTGTAAAATTTCATCCACTTTCACAGATGTAGATACTGACAGACAGATGACACACACAAGCAGACAGATAGACAAACAGACTGGTAGATGCACACACACACACACACACACACACACACACACACACACACACACACACACACACACACACACACACACACACACACACACACACACACACAAAATAATTCCATAACACAGGAAAGAGAAAGAGGAAAAAAAAATCCTGCAAAAAAGGACACCTTTTTCCTTTTACCATGCAATATATTAGCATAGCCAATGGCAATACGAGAGCCATTCACAAACTAATCTTCTTCACAACAATTATCATCCACTGACTCTTCCTTGTCTCCTCTTTCAACATTTACTTCACAACTATCCTCAGTCTCTCCATCAATATTGAAAAGATCAGTTAGAGACTTCTTAACATTGGAGATAAAAGCTGCAACTCCCAGTCTGTTGCTTCCCGAACTGCTAACACTCCACTTTTTGGTCCGCGTCTCACTACTTGTCCTTGCTCTATCAGTGTGGCAGGAAGGCACGGGAGCATCCATGGCCCTCCTGATGTGGAATATTCTCCGCCGAGACAAGAGCGGCGAGCCACACAGATCATCAACACTAGCTTGCCACATGAGAGTCCTTTTTACTTTGTCCACTGGCAGCTTCAGAGGTGGTGGTATGTTCTCCCTCTTCAGCCCTGTGGATGAGCATGGAAGTCTCACATCACCAGCCGAGATGGACCGTACCTGATTTGTCACAGTGCTGTTTGTGGTCACAATAATCTCGCGGTGACTGTTACTGATCCTCCTACCATTAATGTGAGTGTCAAGGTTATTCCGCAACAAAGAGGTAACATTGTTTTGCGAAGAAGTCATAATTTTCCTCATTTGTACATTACTATCAGCAAGAGATGCACTCTCATGCCTTTTCCTTTCATTCCCCACAGCTGATAGAACATCATGTGAGTCAATTCCCTCACAGCTTTTGCTCACCTCAGAAATGCCTTTTGGTAAATTTGGGACTGTATTTTCTTTGTCTATCATTTCAAAATCTAAATTCTCAGACTCCCTTTCAAGGCCAAATTCATGATTCATTTCCTTCAAACTCGATGCCTTATAAATATCTCCATCATAATTTCCCTCTCCCTTCACAATGGTGCAACCGTTTGTTCCTTCTATTTCACTCTTAATCGCATCTGAACTTGACCCATCACAACTGAGGACCTCATTTTCATACCCAAGCTCCTCACCCTGTTTCTTGTGGTCTATCAGGGCATGAGGATTAGCCTCACTTATTGGTTTTGGCTTTACAGTCACTTCAACTTTTTTAGCACTGTGATGGTGACTGCGTGTCTGCTTACCAAAACCTTGTTCACCTTTCCTGGCAAA